CTCGATAGTTGAAGCGACAAATAATAAAAGGAAAACAATTTCAAGATTGGCAGACAACGGAAACTAAATATAGCTCAACAATTTAAACATCTGACTACGTTAACCTTAAACTGATATCAAGGTCAAATTCTTTTACACCCCCCCCCCCTCCCCTCCCCTCCCTTCCATTTAGAACATGTGTTTTTACTGAAAGCACTGAGTAGGAAGTAAATTACATTTTTGTGTCGCAAGAGCTTCAGTACTGTGTTACTAATAAAAATGAATAAAATTCAAACTTTTGTCCGAAAGCCCAGCTATCCCACATAGTTTCCATTGTGTTGTGCACAAGTTAAATTAGGCATGTGATGAAAGAAACAGCGAGAGTTCCAGCAGAGCTTAACTGCTTCGTTGGGTTTTTTGTGAAGTAAATAGGAAACAATGGCCTACCTGACGTGAAAATCTCGTCTCTGACACTGCTGTAAGCAGGATCCTAAGAAACCAAGAACAACATATATTAATGGAAGCACACTTGAACCTTTCAAAGGCATTAATTAGGTTCTTGTCGCTCAGTTGGAAGAAGGCAAACATTTTTGATCGTGGGCAGATGTTTTTAATGGACAAAAGTGACCACATTCCCTTCCAGATTGGTTACTTAACTCACTGCTAATTTAAGCTCTGTTTAACCTTTAGTTTTTCTTTGGAAGAACCAATTACTGAAGCTTGACTCCAGTAAGTCCGCCATTTCTGATAACTTCAGAGACACTAATAAGATTTCATGGTATAAAGGCTGAGTTAAGCATCTCATTTCCCCTCGACATATAAAGACACATTCAACCTCGAAGGTGAAATAGTCTCTTAATGTCCCTGAAAAAATGAAATATCTTCAAATTCTCCCAGCCAACAAACAGGAAATTCAGAGAAGACAGCAAAGGAGAATATGTCATTTGACAACGCGAGTAAATCGTGTAATTAACCGTGACTTTTTTCAGACACGAAAATTGCAGACGAGACAGACCATTACTCAAACTCCAGAGAAAATCCATCTTATAAATGAGTGTATCCTAAGCATTATAACTATAATAAGCTTAGATGACCCCAGAAGATTAAAATGGAACACTTAATGCGATTTAAGCACACGACTTGGGCAATATCACATCTAAAGTGGATATACTGTGCAGGGCACTCGTTGCTTAGAGATGTACATCTATGAAGCTAAGCCAAATATAGTTAAAATGTGACTGAAGTCAGTGACAGGCAGCACTAGTCGTGATCTACTATACATTTTTCAAACGCAATGAATTCTTGTTTTGACCCAGTGACTTTGAAGCGTGCAGTTATAATTTGTTTTGATAGTTCGATAGTTGGGAAAGTTATCTTTGTCAAAACTGCTAGCTGGCCGAAACGATATTGGTGAGCGGTTTAGCATTATGGTTAGAAAACGCATTTCTCTTGACCGACTGTACATGAATATCGAATTAAACCAACTCCACTAACACACTAACCTCAAAGATTGTACTCAACCGTTCGAAGAATTTGTCCATACTTGTTCGTGGCTACCTAAAAGATCTCTTACACCTGATCACAGCGACTGAACGCGCTGGTTTGTGAAGCCGGAGTGTTCTCGTCATTTAAAGCGGATTTAGAAGCTGTTCTTAGATTCGACCAGTGAATGTTGGGCCGCATTTTTTTCCCACGTTGCCGGAGCGAAGTAGAACTCGTTTAGGAGCGAGCGCTTAGCTGCGTTCAACAAACACAATGACAGTAAATGCTTGACTGAGTGTATTATGGTGGAATGTTCAATTTTTGACGGGGAACAAAAGCGCACCAGAGCGCAATAGAAAAGATAATTCAATCGATAATTCTTATTACACCTGAAAAGCTGTGAATTGGACTGAGTACCGTTTCTCGAATTATTTTCTTAAATCCATCTAGCTTCACTCTAGAACATCAATAAAAAAACATTTAAAAATTCGAGAAGCGTGTAGTACAGATCATGCCCCGCGGGCACATTGGGAAATTTTATTGATGCACCTTTTCCGCTAGCAACTTCCAAAAGGTTCCCTAAACAATAACCTGGAAGTGTGAAAATTCTTTAATAGCAATCTTATGAGCATCACAGAAACTTATTCCACTGTTTTAAATACAGGCCTCGCGCGATCAAGTAAAGAATAACTGGCTGAACACGTATTCTTCTCTTATGCAAAGAAAATCTTGTTTGATAATTAAGTAAAGTATGTGACCCCGTTAATATTTGTGGATTTTTCCAAAGAATAATATTGTCACGGCCCCTTGGCCTTGTTCATTATGCGAGCGCGGAATGCTATAAACAAGACGCGTCAGAAATAAACTGGAATGTAATGACGAATAATGAAAGTATGTCACACTTGCTTATTTTCCTCATACTTGATCTTTAATTAAAAACTTTACTGATAGTGTTACTTCAGTATCGAAGTTTCCGAATAAATAATTTTTGTTATAGGTTTCATTATTCTTTCAGAATAATTCTCTTCTCCGATCTTCCGGAAGTTTACTTATAATTTGTATTTAAAAGTCGACCTCGCCATATTAATTTTGGTAATCGAAATATTTGACGTTTGACGTCACGTTGTCGACAAACGATAACGTCACGAACTTACGAAGGCGGGAGAATG